TCTCATCACATCTCCTCTGACCACAGCTGAATCTGAGAGGAGCTTCTGTAGAATGAAGTGAATCCAGACTTTCCTCAGGTACAACATCACATCTCACTGCACTGACCATGCTCTATAGAGAGGAATCTGGTTAAAACATCCCTGACTTTAACCAGAGTCATGAAGAAATTTGCTTCTCAGTAACAGAAGAGCAAAATTTATGTACAAAAAATAACACAATACATGATAATGCTGTTTTATTATTTTCATTTGTTTAATAAGTACACTGGCGTGATACAACTTAGCATGTTTGATTGCTTTCTGAGATATGTATTTTGGAGTTGTAGCCCCACCTGGAGAAAAATCCACCAGCCGCCACTGGTATGATGTATGATAATACTTTGTAGTATACTAAATCCTATGCACTTTTACTGTGATGTAATGTGTGGCTGAATTTGTGAGCTTTTGTTTTGTGAGCTAAAGTCAGGGACGCGCGTAAAAAAGACGTGTATTAAATGTGCTCAAGGATTGCATCTGTCAAATTAACAAAACAGCAGCCGCAATCCATTTAGTGTGTTTGTCTTCATGAATATGTGGAATATATTATGATTATGAGAATGTGCAGTATCCTGGGAAGAGGCTAGGGTTAGGGTTATTTCACTCACCAACATTCAGATGTCAGACGGGAAATCTCATGAGACCTCACCAGATCAAACACGAGCTCAGAGTAAATAAACATGGCCGACAAGAAAGAACAAATCAGATAGTTTTTGGATTATTTTTAACAAACACAAGGTGGAACTTGACGCCAAAGCATCGATTGGTATGTCTCCGCCTGCCCTAGACATGTCTGCCTTTGAAGCTCAAGCAATTAATATAATTTAGCATGGTAATGAAATTCAGTCTTGGGTTGGATCATACAAAATAATCATTTGTTTCACCTTTTTTAAAAYATATTTTTACCGTCGAGGAATTAGAAAAAAAGGCCAGTTTTATATTACCAATCATCATAAATGACCTTGACCTTTGACTCTTTGTCCAAATCCAATCAGACTGAGTACTGCCCTAATGGAGTTACAATGCCTGTTTCAATATATAATATAGTTCAGGAGATGTTGTGCACACAAGACCACCCCTGACAGACGGACACCGCACTAACACACAGACAGCCGGAGAACAGTATGCCTCTGACCCCAGTGGACAACAACAACAAATAAATATACAGGTCTTTGACATCTGCCAGACTTTCTGGTTCACCACATAAGTTTTTATGTCTTCTGTTTTGGATTCCTCTCTGTGTTTACATTACCTCGCTTTCTGATTGGCTACACTTCACATTCAACAGGTGTGTTCTTGTTTGTTCTCRGGGAACACCACAAATGCTGGGATATCGGGCCAAGACAATCCAACATGTCGAATAYCCACAAAACGAGATTGGAGCGGTCCCATTGTCCTTCTGAGCAAACTAGATCRTTCTGGCAGGAATATCTCCTAAGATTATCTTTATAGTCAACATAATAATCTGAGCATCCCTTAAGATTGTTGGAAGGAAAACATCAGGCCAAAGAAAGATCTGCACTATTGTCTTGTTGTGTGAACCCAATGTTATGTTATTGAAAAATGGTCCATCTAAATGTCTTCGTATTTTTTGTCTCACTGCAATTAACAAAATTAAAACAACATACTAACAAAACCACCTGGACCCCTCCCCTGGTGAGGTGTTCCGGGCACGTCCCACTGGGAAGAGGTCCAGAGGAAGACTCAGGACACGGTGGAGGGACTATGTTTCGCAGCTGGCCTGGGAACACCTTGGGATTCCTCCGGAGGAGCTGGGGAGAGGGAAGTCTGGGTTTCTCCTTGGGCTGCTGCACCCGTGACAAATGGATGGATGGATGGATGGATGGATGGATGGATGGATGGATGGATGAATGGACAAAACTGCATCAGCTTAGAGTCTAAAATAAATATTTATATGTTTTTTTTTCAGCCAGTAGATCTGAAGTCAGGCTTTAAAACTCAAAAAACTGACTGGACTATCCTGAGCTTCCTGTATAGCGGGACAGAGGTTTTTACTTTCCAAGACAGTATAAAATTATCCAGACAAGTACTGGAGCGATTCAGTGGACTTTGTTGTACAGCTGAAGATCTGATGATATAAGTCAACATATTGTACAATGACAGTTTGTCCTCTGCTTAACTGATGGTTAAATACAGATCTCTAATGGTGGCCCTGCTTTGTTCTGACAATAATGTGACAAGTGTAGATTTTTGCTTATTGCTAAAATGTTTTTTTTTTGTCTTCCTGTAGATTTCAGGAAGAACTCATCTATATTTAGTCTTAGTCATGCAGCTTGTGTTTTATTTGTTCTACAGCGCCACCAAGTGGACAGTAAATGTAAAACAGGCAGTGCAATTATCAGGACCACCAAGACCTTCTCTGCAGAAACATTTCAGAGCTCAGACTCAGTCATAAATATTTTCTCACAAATTATTATTGGTTTATTTTAGAGGGTTTTTTTTAATCCAGTCATACAGTAAATCAGACATCATGTGTCGCTGGGGTCAAACAAACTGTATCTGTGYCTTTAGACTCATTACTGCAGGCCTGGTCATTTCAAATAAATGGAACAATATTGTTGCTTCTCTCCATCATCCAGAAATATAAAAGCACAAATCAACTCGGAGTTTTCAGGTGTCTTTATTATTTAAGAGGTACAGGTGATGTATCCATCAGCTCGAGAGATTATTTCCTTCCTCAGTGACTCCACCATCTCCAGCAACTCAGACACTTCTGCTGCTTTCTGCTTCTTCAGCTCCAGCTGCTGCTGGATCTGCTTCTCCAAACCTGGCAGAAACACATTTACAGCAAAGTTTAGCCTTTGACACATTTTGATGTCTCTACAGAGCCACCTGATCACAAGCTATTACAAGCATCTTACAGGGACTACGGCTAAAAAAATAAAAGGTTTTTGTAAAGTGTTAAAATAAAAACAAAATGCAATGACTTATAAATCCCATACACCCATTTATTAATTCATAATATTACATTGAAAACATGTCAAATGTTTAAATTAAGAAATTGAAAAAAAAAAAACATACAACATACCAACTAATCACGTTTATCCTGCGGCCTTTACCTGTTTTTATGTAGAAACAATTACATCCTTGAGTTTCATGTTTTGAYACAGAATTATTATAATGAACAGAAATATAATTTTGCAAGATTAATAAAAATAATCTGGGGAATGAAGCTAGGAAGGGGATAAAAAGGGTTCAAAGATGAGTTTTATCCAGTTATGTTAGTTAATGACCATGAATTAACTAATGTGACCACAAGTTATTATCTCATGACCATGCATTAACTAACATGTGGCCACAAGTTATCTCATGACCACACACTAAATGACATGTGGACATGGTTTATTTCATGACTACACATTAACTAACATGCTCAGGAGTTTTTTTTGTAGTGACCACACATTAATTAATGTGACCAAAAGTTCTTATGTAGTGACCACATATTAACTAACATGTTGCCACAAGTTCTAGTGACCGCACATTAACTAACATGTTGCCACAAGTTCTAGTGACCGCACATTAACTAACATGTTGCCACAAGTTCTAGTGACCACACATTAACTAACATGTTGCCACAAGTTCTAGTGACCGCACATTAACAAACATGTTGCCACAATTTCTTATGTAGTGACCACACATTAACTAACATGTTGCCACAAGTTCTTATGTAGTGACCACACATTAACTAACATGTTGCCACAAGTTCTAGTGACCGCACATTAACTAACATGTTGCCACAAGTTCTTATGTAGTGACCACACATTAACTAACATGTTGCCACAAGTTCTAGTGACCGCACATTAACTAACATGTTGCCACAAGTTCTAGTGACCGCACATTAACATGTTGCCACAAGTTCTTATGTAGTGACCACACATTAACTAACATGTTGCCACAAGTTCTTATGTAGTGACCACACATTAACTAACATGTTGCCACAAGTTCTAGTGACCGCACATTAACATGTTGCCACAAGTTCTTATGTAGTGACCACACATTAACTAACATGTTGCCATAAGTTCTTACCTAGTGACCGCACATTAATTAACATGTTGCCACAAGTTCTTATGTAGTGACCACACATTAACTAACATGTTGCCATAAGTTCTTACCTAGTGACCGCACATTAATTAACATGTTGCCACAAGTTCTTACCTAATGACCGCACATTAACTAACATGCCCATGGGTTATTTTCTAGTGACCATGCATTAACTAACTTGTAGCCACAAGTTATTTAGTGACCACACATTATGTGGCCACAAGTTCTAGTGACATCACATTTATTAATGTGTGTCCATGGGTTCTTATCGCATGACCATACATTAACCAGGGGTAGACAGAAGTGCTTCTTATTTACTTTATTTGTTTTCATTTCAGACAACTAGATCCCACCTCCTGGTTTTCCAGTGGACAACCAAGTAAAAATAAGAGAGTAAAGTTCTCCTCTGTGAAGGATATCCATCAGAATGAAAGGGAGAAAAAACTTGTTAAAGCTGTTTGGGGATTAAAGTGACAGTTCTTTAACCCACCAAAGAGTACCACAGACAGTCAAAGTTTTACCCAATCAGAACAGAGCAGGGCAGGTCATGCTGTCTGTGCAGCGGCAGCTTCGAGTCAGAGGACAGGTCAAAATGGGGTGCCAAGTGTAAAATAAAATGTTAAAAAGTTTCACTAACATATTTTTCATTATTTAGCTCACTTTGAGTGCTAAAAGGT